GGCTCTCAACATAAAAATAAGAAGGAAAATATCCGACAGGTTCATGGGTATGGAGCCTCGATTCAGAACACTAATAATTCAAACTCAAGAGTTGAAAAAACTACCGGGCTGAAACTTGTTGTGAGATCTTCAGATAACAATTTAAAATCAGCCGACTCTATACAAATTTCTTTTGAACAGAACGACAAAAAAACCTCAACGGATGAAAGCATGAATTCATCGCTGTCAAGCAAGAATGAAGTTAACTTATCAGGAGATGAAACTGTGATTTCTCTATCAGAGACTGATAATAAACCAAAAGGGAGGCTTTGGAATAATATCATGGCTCCTCATAATCAATCTAACGATGATAAGGATGCGAGTAGCGGTGAAGAATGTGATATTGAGCTTCCTCCAAGAAAGTCCAAGGCCGCTTTCAAGGAGCCTGAACAAAAATCAAAAATACTATTAATGTTTAACAAGAGCCTCGAGACAAGTTCATCAGTGGATTGTTCAACTGATCCTGCTGCTCGTGCGTGCTTTAAAGGTGCTGAAGATCGTGTTACGGAGAGAAATGCATCTGGACACACACATCTGTCAAAAAACACAGTACCCGACTCATCTTTCTCTGAGCGTGTGAGGTTGGCAGCTTCAACGTTGAGGACGATTACGACACCTGCCAAAGTCTCAATGCTCACCTCTCTCCACAGTTTTTCAAATGCAAAAAATGTATCAAGAAATATCCATGCACCTACGCAGAATGTCTTTGATGCCTCGAACCCGTCAAAGGGAGAAAAAACAAAATAGTAAGTAAGTAAACAGTAAATAGGAATAACAAATTGAATTGCTGATTTAACAATTAAAGTGTTACAAAATATCTCCGACATGTCTCTAATGGACGTATCTATGCTAGAAGGAACTATATGCAAGTAGAAACATGGGGTGCATGCTCGTGGAAGCTGGATAAGAAACAATGTAAAAGTGGATCAAGTTCCTTTTGAGAAAATGGAAAAGCGGGATTTGACATTAAGTCAAAAGGAACTGAGCGCTATAACTTGTGAGCCGTGGGCATGTGACAATATAGCCTTATGCACAGGGCTCATGAGTTAAAGAGTCCCGCCACCGATCTCCCCGTCGTACCCGGGCTCGATCGTTGTCGATGACGTCACTGGCGCTTTTAAATTCCCATTCATTGTTATGGCCCGACCACTAACGAGTACACTCCATCTTTCCACTTGCGCATCGTTCCATTTTGCATAAAAACGTCCAAATGTACAATTTACAATAGTGGGAAGTTACTTTAACAACTAGCATTAAATGGAGATGTTGCATGCGTGAGGGATTTGCGATTTGACCATTGATTCTTATGTAAAAGTTCGCGAGAAACACGATGGTGCACGGAGAAAAGAGATTGGTGGCCGCAACCAGGAAAAGGGCTATGTTTACCAACCCGCCTATTTCGTTTTCGTCATAGCTACACTCCTGTTTGATCCGAACAAAGCGGGTTGGTAAGTATGGCTAACGGTGTCACGGGCGGGCGGGTTGCCTTCTCCGACTACGCGGGTTGGTAAATCTTGCCAAGTATTAAAGTTTCACTCCTTACTCGTATTGTTTTGTAAGAATAAACGCCTGGTAGGCTTTATTGAATGCCTGGTTTACAGAATGAATCGAG